AGGTCAAGCGATGTGTCCTAGGCCTGTGACCTAGTGTGTTTCTGTCATCCTTCCTCCACGCTGGCCACCAGGGGTTTTCTTCTGAAAAGTCGATTTGGCCTTGTTTACGCCCACACTCAGAATTCTACAGTGGCTGAACGTGGCGGCTCAGGCCTGTAGTCACTCAGGAGGCTGGAGGTGAGTTTGAGGCTAAGGTAGACTGCACGGTTCCAGGCCGGCCTGGAGCAGCCTGACCCTGCCTCAAAAGCAAAACTAAACAGAAGCTGGAGGATAGTCACGGCTCAGGGCTGTTCTTCTGGAGGGCCAGGGTTCAATTCCCAGCATCCACATCAGGCAGCCTGTCACCAAGTGTGACTTTAGCTCCAGGAGCTGGCAGCTTTTGGCATCCACAGGCACTTCATGTATGTGTACGCGCACATACACACACACAAAAACCCCCACAAAACTCTACTTTGTCTTCTGACCCTGTTGCCGAAGGGTTTGAATCTTAGCCAAGCGTATGCCTGCCCAGAACCCTACCTAACTCAGCGTCTTCATTTTTAGGCAATAATCCGCTGGTGAGTTTAGTACACTCATCCCTACCTAATTCTACTTCCCAGCAGTTCCATTTCCTGCCTCTGGGTTCACTTAATTCTGTCTCTCCTTCTCCTTTTTCTTGCTCAGATTTATTTATCATGTATACAGTGTTCTGTCTGCATGTACGCCTGCAGGCCAGAAGAGGGCACCAGATCTCGTGATAGATGGCTGTGAGCCACCATGTGGTTGCTGGGACTTGAAATCAGGACCTCTGGAAGGGCTGCCAGTGCTCTTAACCGCTGAGCCATCTCTCCTGCCCCTTCTTAAATTAAGTGTGGCACTTTGATAGAGAGTTTCAAGTAGCTCAGGCTAGCCTGAAATCACCATGGCGGAGGATGTCCTTGAATTCTTGATTCTCCTGCCTCCACCTCCCGAGTGCTGGAGTCTCAGGCTTGCTGCACCAGGCGCTTCTCCACGCTCCTTTTCTTCCTCTCTCTCTCTCTCTCTCTCTCTTTTTTAAAATATATTTCTCTCCAAATACGGGCCCAGGCTCACCTTGAGTTCGTAAACCTCAGCTGCGCTAGCATGTGTCACCATGCCCAATCCCCTCCTTTTTAATCTGCATAAAAACCTACGTGTGTGGATGTTTTGCACATATGTGTGAGTGCACATACACACACATATACACGCATATGTGTGTGTGTGTGTGTGTGTGTGTGTGTGTACATGCATATCACGTGCTCGCCTGGTAAGCTTAGAAGAGAGCACTGGTTCCCCTGGAGCTAGAATGACATCTGCTTGTAAGCCAGCATGTGGGTGCTGGGATTTGAACCCAGGTCCTCTGGAAGAGCAGCCAGTGCTCTTAACTGCTGAGCCACCTCTCCAGCCCCAGCTGTTTGTCTTGGGTTCTTGTTTTGTTGGTGTTCTTAGACAGTCTTATTGTGTAGCTTATGTAGGCCAAGCTGGCCTGGAACTTAGAATGTAGACCAGGCCGGCCTGGAACTCACAGAGAGCCACCTGCCTCTCTGTCTCCCAGCTTGCTGGCATTAGAGCACTCCACTTGGCTTTTTTGTTTTTGTTTGTGTGTGTGTGTTTCTTGTTTCCTCTGAAAAGTTCCCACCCAAGCCTATTATAGTGGCTTATGCCTTTAATTTCAGCACTTGGGAAGGAGAGGCAGATAGATGTCTGTGAGTTTGAGGCCAGCCTGGTCTACATTGTGAGTTCTGAGACAGTCAGTCCTATAGAGTGAAACCCTGTCTTGAAAAAAAAAAGAAAAAGAAAAATTCTGGCCCAGTAAGTTTGGATCCTCTCCTGTTCTCCAGGACACCCAAGCTGTCATTTTCCCTCTCTGAACCCTGAACCCTGTTACTTTAAACTTTGTGTACCTTGAGAAAGGGGAACTGGGACCTGCCGCCCCACCATCCCACCCAGCAAAGAAAACTTTCCTTTATTTTTGGATGTAGTTCTCCAAATTCCCACTAGGTGGCAGGCGAGCATCACTGCCCGGCCATCCAGGCCATGTGCATGTTAGGGTGGGCAGGCTGGAGGGAGGGAGGCTTCAACTGTGCCAGAAAAACACCCACAGGAGTGGATGGAGAATTCATCCCGCTCAGTTTTGACGCAGCGGGACGCAGGAAAGTCTCTTCTGATGTGTCCTGGACTCCTAGATGATTTCTTTCTGACTCTCAGGGGCCATCACCCTTGGCTTCCTGCTTCTGTCTTCTGACCTCCTGTCCTTATTCCGCCATCTGTATTCTCGGCCACCTCCTATGTAGCTGCCTGCCTTTGCCTAAATGAGCCTCCCTCTGCTACACCTCTGGGCCTTTGCACACGTTATGCTTTCCACCAGGATTACCTCATTCTCCTGCTGTTTCATCAGGCCAATTTATTTCACATTCTCCAAGAAATCTCCCCGGGCTCCTCGACTGGCCCTGACTGTGTTGGGATTGTTTGCTGTCATTGTTTCCCAGACAAGACCAGCCTAACGGAGACAACACTAAACACACGCAAAATAGCCAAACACATGGCAGATGCCTGTAACCCTGGCTCTTGGGAAACAGCAACTGGAGGATTTTGAGTTCAAGGCCAGTCTGGACCACATAGACCAGGTCCGTCTCAAAACAGAAACAACAACAACAAAGAAAAAGAGAGAGCTGAGTCCATCAAAAACTACAAGCAAAACAATGCAAAAGCAGGTGTATATAAAATTAACACGCTATTAGGCTGGGGTTTGTTTATTCTGACCTGTGTGTGTATGTGCCTGCACATGTGAGTGTGGGTGCCTTCAGAGGCCGGAGAGCATGGAATCCCCTGGAACTATAGTTCCAGGCAGCTGTGAGCCTCCGGGGATGGGTGCTGGGACCTGAACCCAGGTCCTCTGCAAGAGCAGGAAGCCCTCTTAAACACTGACCCATCTCTCTGGTCCCAATTCAGTGCAATCGGCAGCATGCGTGGGGATTCTCTGGGCCCGTATCTCCATCCATATCCTCCCACGGTTGGTATTAGATTTTGCCACACAGCGTGACCCAAGGGGCATGACAGTGGAAGGCATGAGTCTTAGAGTTCAAACCCAGACTCCATCATCTCACTGTATGACCTTGGGTGAGGGTCAGAGCCTTCATTTCTTTCTTTCTTTTTTTTGTAAATGGTTCTAACCTCACATTGCCTCGTGGTGAGGATCAAATTAGCCTGTGCAAGTGAAACACCTTGCAATTAGGTGCCCCCCTCCCCCCTCCCACATCAACCTCGAAATAAAATTGCCCTCTGAGTCTTAAGCCAGTAAAATCTACACATCATGGAGGGGAAGAGCCAGGTGGGAGGAGCGAATGGGGCGGGAGGGAGATGGCTCTGAAAACGACTGAAGAGTTCTGTGAGCAGCGGCATCAAGCTGCAATCAAGGTGACCGGCCTGTAATCTCGGGGAGGCAGGCCGAGAGGATGTGATTGAAATGGAGAGAGCTGCGGCTTAATCAATTGCATTGTGCTCTATCTGGAGGGAACAGAAGGCTGGGACTGAAACGGGGGTGCCAGCGAGGTTCATCCAGCTGCTCTGGAGGAAATGATGGGGAAACCTGGAGACACGGGGAATGTTCTGGTGGGCTGAAGAGCAGCAAGGGGCCTGAAGAGCTCCAGATGGTCGGGGCACTGCTGGGCCTTCACGGAAACCACATGGGCTGAGGGCAGCAGGCAGAGCCCCAGGAGGCAGACGAGAATATCCCGGTTCCAGGAAAGGGCTGTGGAGGCTGAATGCTAAATCCGGGGCCAGAGACTGTCCCAGCACCCCAGATCCGATCCAGCCCTTACTGTGCTGGCCACCTTCAAAACCCTGACTTAGGCTGGCCACGGTGGTACATGCCTATGATCCCAGTATTGGGGGAACCAGAGCAGCATAGAGAGAGCCTATCTCAAAATGAGGGAGAGGTATGATTTTCCTCACGGTGCCTCAGTTTATCAGAACAGCGGCCTGTTTTCCTAGGTTATGTGAGGTTGAAACGGCAGCTTGCCCTTAGCAGGACACTGGGCATAGAGTCAACATCCTGTAAAGATGACAGTGACAGACAGCTGATGTGTGTTAAACATTTAGTGCTACTTCACAGATGAGCGAACTGGAGCCTGACGAAATTAAAACCGCGCATAGGCCAGCAGAGCCGGCGAGTGGTAGAGGCAGGGTCTACGGCCCAGAGCTCGTGAGCCGAACTATTCACTCCCCGGCAGGAAGGAAGAAACGCTGCCTTCTGGCTTGAACATCAGGCTCTCGTGGATTTGGTTGTCAGGAAACCGGTGGCCTCAGAGCCTTGGTGTCTGAGAGTTTGTCTGTAGAGCTAAGGCCACCGACGGTCCTGTGACACCTGGAGTCTTGCCATCTCTTGATTCCATTCAACAGATTCCAGCACAGACCTGGTTACGGGGAATGCTCACCTTGCCTCCTTTCCTTTAAACCCCTCAGTTTGGTTGGGGGGGGGCTCCAGGGAACCCTTCTGCCAATAAGTAGAAACACACACACATGTGCACACACAGGCACTCACACACACACACACACACACACACACACACACACACACACACACACCACAGCACACACCCTAGCCCAGAGGCAGTGAAGCCTAGCGAAGAGACCCTGGGCTTTGTGTAGGATAGGCTCTGCCACGCGCATCGGGGTGAACCGGGCCTATCATGTAACCCCTGGGCCTCGCTTTTCTTATCCAGTGGAACTAATCAGAGAAAACGGTCTCAGCATTAGATTACACGGGAGGAGAGGAGGGAAACGCCCAACGTTCAGCAGCATGCTTGCTTCTCACTGTTATCCCTCGCCGTCCTGGGGCTCGCTTCATAGACTAGGCTGGCCTCAAACACACAGCCGTGAGCTTGCCTCTGCCTCCGTAGTGACTAAAGGTGTGGGCAACCATGCCCCAGCCAGGTTAGCAGATTAAACTGGGCATGGTGGTACACATCTGTAATCCTGATTTTTTTAAAAGGTATGTATTTATTTATTATTTATTATCTCTTCACCCAAGGGAACTCTTCCAGGACAGGAATAATCTTGCTCATTTTTACCAGGGTCCTGCTCAGCAAAGGGCCCATCAGAGTAGATTCTTAGTAATTGCCTAGGGCACCAGCGACTCCCAACTCCCAGGCTCTCCTCCTCCCCCATCAATAAGTCAGAGGGCCAATCAGTGTTTCCTGAGAGCAGAGACAGGAATCCATACTTCCCACTCTCCTGGTTTCCAAATCGAGGCCTGCCAGCTCCCAGCTTCTCTGAGGAGGACCCAGCTAGTAGGTCTGCCAGACACCGTAATAAGTAAAGATACTTCCAAAGTCCCCAAGAGCCCACTGGGGTAGAGGGGACCTCCCGTGGTGAGGTCCCGTGAGCTAGGCCTCTTCCCTTCCTCCTCCCCCTGCCCTGTTCTGGGGAACCCGACAGCAGCAGAGGGTCTGTTGCATTCTTCTCCGTGCCTCTGTGGGAGGCCTAAGACTGTCCCAGGGTGAGTGGAAAATTAGCTGAACTCAGGTGCGGAATTAGCTGTCCGCAGGTTCAAAGCTCTATTCGTCTGTTTCCGATGGCCTGTTCTGTGTCTCTCAACTGGTGGTGAACTGACTTGTGGACTTAGGAGCCTTCTGAAGCTCCACACACTGGGTACCTTGTGGTTAGTAGGCAAGAGGGAACTGCTCACTGCCCTGTCCTGCCCTCCCCCCAATAGCCAAAGCTGTCCTGTTCACCTCCTGAGGCCTCCCCAAGGATGGCGCAGGGAATTTCCATGGCTCGGTGTTCACATCTCGTTGTTCTTCCTCACATAATGAATAGACAGGTACACGTTACCCAGAGAGGTGCTGAGCCTTCCACAGCTCTTTCCCTCAGACCTGGGCCCGGACCACAGCGTCCCGACTGCAGGAAAGGGTATCAAGCAAAGATGTTCCCTGTCCTCGAAACTTAGAGAAACCCAAGAGAACCGAGAGCAGTAATTGAATTCTTAGGGCCAGGGCTGGAGCAGGCTGACAAGGGGTGGGAAATCACCAGGAAAAGGGAAGGGAAGGAAGCGACATAGAATTTCATAAATAACTGGACAGAGTAGTAGCAGTAATTTTAGGAGATGGAAGAGAGGGACCAACAGTATGCAGGAGCCTAGTGGGACAGGAAAAATGGTGCTTGGGGTCAGAGTGTGTGAGAGAGGAGCTCTGAGCACCCATTGACTTCATCTGTAGAATGAGCAAGGTGCAACAGATATTTGGATGGGGCATGGGGGGAAGGGAAGAAAGAGTGCTTGGGTCAGAGAAGGTAAGAGATGAGTTCCTGGCCTCCGTTCGCCCCATCTATAAAATGGGTTCAGAGCCTCTGGCCTTCTTCTGATGTGCGAGGATTCCACAGGGCTCCAAGTCCGGGAGCACTGGGACCAGAGAGCCCTGGAGGTTGGCAAGGGCAGGTAGATACTCCCAGAGGGTTGTCGGCACCCAGCCAGGCTACGTCTGGTCTCCTGGCTGGTACTGTGGTTCTGTGGAGGTGAAATAGTCTTCCAGGAAAGACTGCAGGTACTCAAAGGTGGGCCTCTCCTCGGCATCCAGGCGCCAGGTCTGCTCCATGACGTCATACAGGGACTCGGGGCAGCCCGGGGGGCACGGCATGTGGTAGCCGTGCTCCACCTGCTCCAGCACTTCCCGGTTGTTCATGCCTGAGGGGTGGAGCTCTGTCAGCCAGTGCAAGGAGAGGGGTAGAGAAGGCCCTCCCTCCCCCGTGACCACACCCCCAGCCCCCAGCTCACCTGGGTAAGGAACTCTGCCCTTGGTGATCAGCTCAGTGAGCAGAACCCCAAAAGACCACACGTCCGACTTGACACTGAATCTGCCGAAGAGGGCAGCCTCTGGGGCTGTCCACTTGATGGGGAATTTGGTCCCTGGAGATGTTGGGGGGGAAGGTCTGGTTAATGATGGGGGAGGGTCCTGGAAACTGCTAGATCACGAGAATGAGGACTTCAGGGGTGGGCATCTCGGGGACCCTGAGCATAGACGCCTCTGTGCTTGGCAGGAAAGACCCGCTGTCTGTAGTCAGCACCTATGTGTCTGGTACCATGCCGGGCTCTTTTCACGTGTGGTTGTGCCTCTTGTGACAAGATATTAGAGCGGCTCTAGCTGTCACTAAACGCTGGTCACAGTTTCATTTGTCTTGGTTTGGGTTTAAGGGGCTGAGGGCAGAGTCGGTTCCCCCTCCACTAAGCAAGCATTCTCCCCCGAGTCATATCCCTCAGGCCCGGGTAGCGCGTTCGGTGCTGTTAACACCTGCACTGTTAACACACTGAGCCCGGACCGTCTCTGGCCTCATCTCACTAGTGAGGAGAAGATGCTGGGTAAGTTCTTCGCCCAGCTAGCACAACCAGCAAGCGGCTGGGATCCGCACGAGGCCTTCCGGCTACAGCCCCGGCCACGGTGCCTTAATGCTCTGCTGTCTGTTTGAGGAGACTGAGCCATGCCTGGTAAACGCGTACTGGCCGACCGTGGTCTAGCTATTTTCAATGTATACGTCAGCAATGGCAACTCACGGAAGTCAGGTAACTCAAGACCTGTGGGTAGCCACTGTCTGAGGGGGGACTTGAACCCAGAACCGCGTTTGATCCACATCAGGATGGGGGCGTCTGGGGTCAGCAGGGTTGGGGAAGGGTTTCTGACTGAGGGGGGTGCCTGGCAGCCCCTTAGAGCTTTTGGATTCTAGCGGGGCGGGGCGGGGCCTGTCACCTTGGCGGGGGTTGTACTCGTTATCCTCTATGAGGCGTGCCAGCCCGAAGTCGGCGACCTTGCACACCAGCTGTTCCCCCACAAGGATGTTGGCTGCTCGCAGGTCCCGGTGGATGTAGTTCATGCGTTCCATGTAGGCCATGCCTTCAGCCACCTAGGAGGCGGAGAGGGAGCGATGGGGGTGGGGGCGTGGGGGCAGGGGTCAACGTGGACTTCCGGTAGCGTAACTCCACCTGAGGGGGGTGGGCGTCACCTGAAAACCCCACCGTCCCGCGGACACCCCCTCTCCTCCCAGCACCGCAGCCCAGTGCGCATGCGGAGACTCCACAGCGTCTTCCCGCCCCGGGTCTCAGAGCTCGTGAGGTGGGCTGGGCTGCAGTTCTAGGTGTATTGAAGGCACAAGGGTTCATGAGAGGATAATAGGAGGGAGGTCCGGGAGGGGCAGCCTGCTGGCCCAGCCTACCTGGGCGGCCATGTCTACTAGATGGGGCAGCCTTAAGTTCTGGCCCTCTCGACCCTTTAGGAAATCCAGCAAGCTACCTAGGGAGAAGCAGCCAGAAGATCAGCAGCAAGCCCCTACTCTCCCAGTTCTTCTCTGTATTGGCCTTGCACCTGCCGGGCTAATCTAGCCTCGCTCGCCTCCGTCCCAGCTCTCTCACCAAGATCAACCTTCCTGTTCCGTCTCCACCCGTGAACCCCTGGACACGCCCCACCTAGACTCCTCCCTGGGTCCCGTCTCAGCCGGGACCCTGCTCTGGTTTGCTCAAATGGGTCCACTGGTCGGCTAACTAACCACCTTCCCGCCAGAGGAGGCCCAGCAACCTGGGATGGCCCCGCCTCCTAGCCTGGCCCCGCCCGCCCCGCCCCCTCACCGTAGCACATGAACTCCGTCACGATATAGATGGGTTCATCCGACACCACCGCGTACAGCTGCACCAGCTTGTCATGCCTCAGCAGCTTCATGATCTGCGCCTCCTCCAGGAAGGCCTTCGGGGACATGGTGCCCGGTTTCAGCGTCTTCACCGCCACCTTCGTGCTGTAGTTCCAAGTGCCTGCTCGGTGGCCGCGTACTCGTCAAGACCCTCTCCCCAGACCCCAGCACTCCCTTCCCCAACCCCCATCTGGCTCCTGACATCTTCGTACCCAGCCACACGTCTCCAAAGCAGCCGGTGCCCAGCCTGCGTTCAAGCGTTATGGAGCTCCGGTTGATCTCCCAGGCATCCTTGGCCAGGCCTAGCGTTTGGGGCTTCATGGTGGCACAGGGCGCCGTGAGCAAGTAGCACAGACCGTCGTTCATTTCTGGAGGATGGACGGAAAGGGGGGAGGTCACAAATGAAAGCTATGAGACTCTGAAATTTTACCACAGCCTGGCATCAGAGCTAAAGCTTAGCTGCCATAGACAAAGTGTCTCAAAAAGTAGCTAGTTCATATTTGAGGTCACAGCCAGAAAAGAAAGGGAGATGATCCCTGTGGGAACATTACGGAGGTGGCCTCCCGCCAGGCTTTTAAGGAGAAGGACCGGTTGCAACAGGTGAAAAGGAAGATACGTTTCTGAGGCAAAACTGTGGAGTTGGGCCCGTTCCTGCTATGGGCCTCATCCTAGGCAATGCTGTTGCCTGGGTTCCACACTTGGGTTTTGGTCCTAGATGGATCACTGTGGTTTAAACCCCACAACCAGGCCTCCGTTGGTCAGGTCTATGCCGCCTTCTGCTGAGCTTCAGAATCACTAGCTTCTGCTTGCTTGCGGTCGCTGATTCTGCCTGGCCACTATTACTGCCTGGGCAGTGGCCGCAGCTGCCCAAGCAACTTCTCCTTCCTCCATGTTCCTGCCATCCAACTAGCACAGCCAGAGAGTCTTCTCAGAGTTCAGACTGGCTTCTGCAGCCTGCCGCTGAGAGCATCAGTTCCATAACAGATATTTACATTATGATTCCAAACAACAGCAAAATTACCGTTAGGAGGTAGCAACAAAACTAATTCTATGGTTGGGGGAGGGGCGTCCCAACGTGAGGAACTAGATTAAAGGGTCGCGGCATTGGGAAGGGTGAAGACCACTGGCTTAGAGCCTAGGATGGTGACTGTGTCTCAGAAGTACCATACACACACACACACACACACACACAACAACAACAACAACAAAGGCCCCACAAAGTTTCCATAGACCGGAGCCGGCAAAATGGCTCAGCAGGCAAGCGTGTCCGCCGTCAACCCTGATGACATGAGTGTCATTCCCAGGACCCCCTTGGTTGAAGGAGAGAGTCAATTTTCACGGATTGTCCTCTGACTTGCACACCCATAGTCTGGCACACATGAGTCCCTCCCCCTCCCAGATAAATAAAATGTGTGTGTGTGTTTTTTTTTTAAAGTTTGCACAGGCTTAGGTCTGGAAGCAAGAAACTCTCCAATTCCCTATTCAAACATTAGGAGGCATTGCTTTGTCATGGCCGCTTTGGGCCTCAGTTTCCTTAGAATCCAACACAGAACAGGATCCTGGCCACTACTTCTCTGGGAGAACATTTCGTTGTCCAGGTTGGCCCCGAACTCTTAGTGCTGGGATTACAGGCGTGTGCTGCCGAGCCAGCCTGGCTAACTTATGGTCCCTCTGAGCCGCTCACCCATGTAGTGCTGGACCAGGTTCTGCACAGATTCGAACTGGGCCCTTGTGGTGATATAGTAGCCCCCCGTGTCCAGCTTCCGGATCTTGTAATGCTTCACGTGATCGCCTCTGTTCTGGTCCCAGTCACGGATGGATAGGGAGTAGGCACCTGTGTGGGAAGGGTCCCTTAATCCATCTCTCCAAGAGCAGGCCCCAAAGGCAATGCCCAGACTCCATCTTAGCTCTGCCCCTCCGCTTGGCCCTCACCCAAGCACTCCCCCGCTGACCTTAACGGCTGGTGGTATGGCATGCTAACCCACCTTTGGTGGTCTCACTTTCCCGAATGAGAAAGGCCCCCTGAGGGTTGCCAGCCGAGAGAAGCTGCCTCTCTGCATCCTTCCTGCTGATCTTCCCAAAGTACCACCTGTTAGGAAAAGCAGACAGAGTCAGGCACATTCTCTGCAAACCCCAGTTCATCTTCCCAGGAAGTCACCTCACAAGCCAAGCCTCAGTTTCCTCACCTGAGAAATGGGCTGTTCTAATCGGCTTCATGGCCTGAGTAAAAGGATCACAGAGAAGGGAAACGGAAAAGTGCCAGGCACACAGAATAGATGTGTAAGAAAGACCAGGCTTCTTTCTACCCACTACCTCTTAAAATTGTTAGAATCTGCCAGGAGTCATGGCGCATGCATGCCTTTAATCCCAGTGCTCAGGGAGGCAGAGGCAGGCAGACCGCCGTGAGTTCAAGGCCAGCCTGGTCTACAGAGCCAGTCCAGGACAGCCAATGGAATACAGAGAAACCCGGTCTCAAAAAAAAAAAAAAAAAAAAAAAAACAGACCAAAACAAAACCCCAAATGGTTAGAATCTTCCTGGTGTGGTAGTGTAGTCCCAGCAATCAGGACGTAGAGGCAGGGACAGCTCTTAGTTTGAGGCCACCCTGGTCTACGTAGCAAGTTCTAAGGCCAGCCAGGGCTACATGGTGAGACCCTACCTTAAAAAAAATACAAAAAACAAAAAAGAGCCGGGCAGTGGTGGTGCATGGCTTTAATCCCAGCACAGGCAGGCAGATGTCCCAAACCAGTCCAGGCTACCTAGTAAGACCTTGTCTCCAACGAACAACAAACAAAAAGCGGTAGACCCGAGTCATTGACGACCTTTTCAGGTACCACAGGGCCCTCAACTCATCTCACGAGGACTTTCCACGACCCGTTCTGAACTCAGGGATCAGAGGAGAACTGACTGGCCCACCGGGCTAGCTGACGTGGACAGCCTAAAGCCCTCCCTCGCCCTAGCTCTTTCTCACCACCCCAGGCGATCATCCAGACCTCTACCGCACCCTAACCCCAAATTCTTTCCCCTCTTGATGCTCTCTGAGAAACCTGTAGCCTCAAGCTAACTGTGCCTGTAAGGGGGGCGGGGCTGAAATGACCACGGAGGCTGTGAAGAGCCCGCTGCTGCTGCCTTATCTGATCGGTAGAGTGACCCTGCCACCTGAGCTCAACAGAAAGAAACACTGTCTTCAAATCAAGGGAGATGAGCCAGGGACAGAGGCGCACACCTGTGATCCCAGCACTCAGGGAGGCAGAGGCAGGTGGATCTCAGTGATTGAAGGCCAGTCCGGTCTACAGAGCTAGTTCTAGGACAGCCAGGGCTACACAGAGGAAACCCTGTCTCAAAAAAAGCTACCCTCCCCTCCCCCTCTAAAAAGGAGAAATGACTGAAGGCCTTTGTACCACTGTCAAAATTTGTCAAAGCCCTCCTCCTCCCACAGCCAGGACATTAGTGACGTCCCTAAGGATCAACAAGTAACTCAGCTCTGAGGAGCATGAGACCCCAAGTGTGAGACAGCCTACGCTACAGAGCAAGGCCTCGCTTCCAAATAAAAACCACGCCTTAACAGGCTGGGCACTTCCTTTGTGGTCAACGCCAGCCCTGAACCTAAATGTACCCGCTAATAGTGTTCAGAGGGAGGTGTCGCGCTTAAACTTGCAAGACAGATGAGGAAACTGAACCAGCTACCTCGTGGTTAAGCAACTTCCCTGAGGCCCTACCTCGACGCCAAAACGGGAACCCAAGTTGTCTACTCTCAGGCCTGTGGCCTTAACCAGGCCTCAGCATCAGGCACTTTAGACATCACCATGCTGACGATCTAGGCATCGCCATGCTGCCCCGGCTGTGGACACACATGAGCCCCAACCGCCTGGTGTTCTGGCATCACCCCCCTCCTCCATCCTTCACACTTCCTTCCGCTCTCCACAATCTGGCCTCACTCCACTTATGCTCTGGACTTGCCCATGACCCTCTGCTCAAGGAACCCCATCTCACCCCACGAACAGCCCCTGAAACTGTCCATGCATCAACCTCTAAACACACACCTTCTTCCTTCCTGGAGGGGAATTCTGAGTCCTACAACTGCTATACTTTAAAAGGTTTTGTTGTTGTTGTTGTTTTGTTTTGTTTTACTGCACACACACATGCACGTGAGTGCAAGGGTCTATGGAGGCCAGAAGAGAGCATCAGAGTCCCTGAAACTGGAGTTAGCGAGGGTTATGAGTCACCACGTGGGTGCTGGGAATCGAAACAGAAAATTTAAACAGAAAATCATTGCACTTTGTGTGTTTATTTTGTGCGTGCATTTCTGCTATGACAAAGGAGCGAAAGTCAGCAGATAACCTGTGCATGTTGGCCTTCACTGCTTTCACTGTGTGGGTTCTGGAGATTAAAAGATCATCAGGCTTGATAGCCAGGGCCTTTCCCTGCTAAGCCATCGCTGCATGCTTGGCCCTGGGCTTCTCACCTTGCCTTCACTTCGACGCACATTTTTCTCTCTTGGGTCAATACTTCCTCCCCTTTCACTATCTCCCTTCTTCCTGGACTCTGCTGTCCTGCCCGGTTTTTACTGCCCATGCAACAAAGGTGCCTTATGAAGATCACCCCATTGCCAGAGACAAAGGGAGCCTCAGACACCCCCTCTCCTGTCTTCAGAAATTTCTCCTCCAGCCCTGGTTATTCCATATTGGCCTGGCCCTGACTTCTCCCGGGTCTCCTTCTCCAAGATCAACCTCAGAGTCAGGTCCTAGGACCACTCTGTGTCTCACTCTCTTCCTCCTTCTTCCTACTGGGCAGCTTTGATTGTCCTCTCCACTCAGACGGAGTCTCCGTTCCCGCCAGCACCGGTGTGCCATCTGCCAGGGCTACACAGAACAAATGGCAGTGCCTCCGTGACAACTAGGAACAGGTGCCCCTTCCTCTGCGATAATGGAGTGACACGGCCAGCCACCTCTCATGCACAGCACAGCCTGGTCTAGCTTCTGGCAGCTTCCCTCACCTGTAGAAAGCGTTCCTCTCCACAGACCTCAAAGCAATCCCTCCAGAACCATGTGCCTCCACCTGCTCCCGTGTCCCCCGTTTTAGTGATCGGCACCACACCTAACTTGCTTCTTCAAAAGAGACTGGCTCAGCCTTAATTCCTCTCGCCTCCCATAGCCCAACAACAAACCAGACTCCAAGTCCCGAGGATTCTCATTCTGGTTTTGGATTGTGTTTGGGGAGATAGAGTCGCATGTAGCCCAGGCTATCCTCAAGTTCACTACAGATGCTGGGATTACAGGCACGTGATTACAAAACTGCTGAATGTGCTGGTTTTGTGTCAACTCGACACAAGCTAGAGAGGAAGGAATCTCAGTTGAGGAAATGCCTCCATGAGATCCAGCCGTTACGAATTTTCTCAGCAAGTGATCAGTGGGGGAGGGCCAGCCCACTGTGGCTGGTGCCATCCTTGGATTGACGGTTCCAGGTTCTATGAGAAAGCAAGCTGAGGAAGCCAGAGGAAGCCAGAGGGAGCAAGCCAGTGAGCAGCACCCCCTACGGCCTCTGCATCACTCCTGCCTCTGCGTTCCTGCCCTGCTGAGTTCCTGTCCTGACTTCCTGTGGTGATGAACCCAATGTGGAAGTGTGAGTTGAATAAACCCTCTCCTCCCCAGCTTGCTTTGAGGTCATGGTATTCCATTGCAGCAATAGAAACCCTAAGACACATGCCCAGTCCAGTTCTTCCATTTTGGGGAGGAGGGTGTGAAGATGAATGAAATCTAGGGCCTCGAACAGGCTAAGATACACTCCAGCCTCTCTGCCTGCCTAATAAAATTCACTTTAAATATTATCCCCTTGCAAGCCGTTCTCATATGAAACATGCACCCTCGGTGTCATTAGCTTATTTTTAGATTTAATTTAATTTTATTCATATGAGTGTTTGGCTTGCATGTATGTCCACACACCACACGCATGGCTGGTGCCTGCAGAGGCCAAAAGAGGGCGTCAGATCCCCTGGGACTGGAGTTACTGGTATGAACCACCACTCTGGCTCTGGAGACTGAATCTGGGTCCGGCGGTCTTGCCATCTCTACGACCCTGCTTTGCTTTGTTTTCGTGGGATATTTGTTTTGTTTTGCTTTGTTTGAGACGGGATCTCATCTTTTGGCAGGCTGGCCTAAAACTCACTACGTCACATTGAACCCACATTCTGGGATCATAGACAAGGGCCACCATGGTTGATTTTGTTTGGTGCTGGGGAATCAGACCCAAGGCCTCGTGCCTCCTCCACACTCAACCCTACCATGTGAGGCACACCCCGGTGCCTTTAAAAAAAGATGAGATATCTTTCTTAAAACAGATTTGTTTATGTTGATGAGTATTATGTCTGTACACCTGTGCCCCAGAAAAGGGGGTCAGATCCTATCTTAAAGGTAGCTGTGAGTCATCAGATGGTTGCTGGGAATGGAACTCAGGACCTCTGGAAAAGAAACCAATGCTCTTAAGAGCTGAGACATCTTCCCAGCCCAACACTTTTTAGGTTTTAAAAAATTTATATGGCTGGACAGTAGAGGCGCACACCTTTAAACTCAGCACTCGGGAGGCGGAGGCAGGTGGATCTCTGTGAGTTGGAGGCCAGCCTGGTCTACAGAGTGAGTTCCAGGATAGCCAGGGCTGCACAGAGAAACTGTCTCAAAAACAAAACAAACAAAAAGGTTTATTATTATTATACTATTTATGTGTGTATGTCTGTGTGAGTGTTTGCTGTGTGTGTGTGTGTGTGTGTGTGTGTTTCCGAGCACATGCCTGCAGAAGCCGGAAGAGGGCATCAGTTCCCTTACAGCTGGAGTTACAGATGGTTGTGGCTACCTTGGGTGCTGGGAACCAAACTCCACGCCTTGGAAGGGCAGCAAGCACTGCAGACCGCTGGGCTCCTCTCCAGCTCCCATCCACTACATATTTGAAACAAGCTCGTGGGCAGCACTCCCTGGGCACCCCTCCCGCTCTCCGGAGTCTTCTCACCTTTTCCCTATAAATCTACATTCTCTCTGCTGAGATAGATACATAGCCACATGGACAGATAGATACGTAGATGCATGCATACACACACACAGACATAGGTAACACATAGATAGGTTTTGTCCTAATGTTAATGTTAATACAGACAGGCAATGTATATGCCGGCCAGCACATGATGTGTGTCTAGCTGAATTCACACACCAGCTTTACACACTACTAACTAGGAGAACTTGGGCAGAATATTCACCGTTTCTGTGCTTCAGCTTCCTCATTTGTTTCTATTTATTTATTTACTTGTTTGTTTGTTTGTTTGTTTATAGGCAGCCCTTTCTGTGCAGCCCTTTCTGTCCTGGACCTCACTCTGTAGACCAGGCCGGCCTTGAAATCACAAAGATCTGCCTGCCTCCTGCTGGGATTAAAGGCATTCACTGCCACCACCCAGCTTGGCTCTTTTTTTTTTTTTTTTTTTCAGACAATGGTTCCAGCTGGCCTGGAACTCACTATGTAGACTAGGCTAACCTCAAGCTCAGAGAGAGCCACCTGCCTCTCCCTAGCAAGTGCTAGGATTAAAGATGTGCACCTCCACTGTTGACCAGCTTCCTCATTTGTAAAACAGAAGGGTAGAGTTTCTAGCTCGACCACACAGAAGCTGCTCACTTACAGACCACAGCACCGCTGTAAGGCGCTCTGTGCTGTTACTGCCACCATGGCCATCTTCTTTTGGCTCTGCAGCAACCTTATAACATTGCAGATGCGGAGGCAGGCTCAGAGCGAGGCAGTCATTTCCCAAGAGATGGCCTTGGGAATTAGACACTAGGAATTTCTCCACAGGGCCAGCCCCAACCCCACTCACTCTTCAGCCTGGATGGAATCCGCAGGAGCCACGTAGTTGCTGGGAACATAGCCAGTGTGTCCAGAGCTCAGGGACCGAGCCTGCCACCAGTCACTTTCCCTGTGGACACAGAACACAGGGGTGTCAGCAGCACTCAGGGCCCAGGCAGGGCCACATTAGCTGCAGAGTAACTCTGCCAAACCTCACCCTCAATCCCTCCCCACTCCAAGAGCTTTGATCTGCCTGTCTCCCGTCTACTGCAGCTGCCTTAACTGATGTCACCTGAAAAGGGAGTGTGTTTGGGGATTCCTTCTTCCTCTTGTTCTTCCACTGAACAGGTAGATGCTGGCTAGGTTCCCTCCCCACTGGAAGCTCCCAGTGGCTACAGGTTTCCTTCTGGATAAAATTCAGGCTTGACAACACAGCTTTAAAAGCCTATGGATACTAACCTGCCTACATCTCCAACTTCTGCTTTCTATTCCTTTTTTTTTTTTTTTTTTCTTCCAAGACAGGGTTTCCCTGGGTATCCCTGGCTGTCCTGGCACTCACTTTGTAGACCAGGCTGGCCTCAAACTCACAGAGATCCGCCTGCCTCTGCCTCCTGAGTGTTGGGCCTAAAGGTGTGCGCCACCATGCCTGGCCCAATTTTTAGTTTTAATATTTTTGTTTTTGTTTTTTTTGTAGGATGTGTGTAGTTATGTGTGCAGGGGTCAAAAGACAAGGTGCAGGAGCCAGTTTTCTCCTTTCCACCATGTGGGGGTCTAGGGGTCAGACTCATACGGCTAGGCTTGGTGATTGGCCCTCTACCCACCGGGCCCTCTTCCCAGCCCTGCCCCTCATTCATGTGATTTATCTACATGCAACCACACGGAGCTTTCTAGAACTCCTTGTTTTGTCTTGCTCTCTCCTTTCTCACCTCCTCCTTCATTGTCTACTTATTTTTCTAGTCTTAGTTTTAAAATCTCCAGGAAGCTGGAAAGTGGCCACACACACCTTTAGTCTCAGTACCTGGGAGGCAGAGGCAGGCAGATCTCTGTGAGTTCAAGGCCAGCCTGGTCTACAGAGTGAGTCCAGGGCAGGCAAGGCTACACAGGGAAACCCTGTCTCGAAAAAACAAAACCAAAAAAGTGTCTTCTCTAGGAAGCATTTCTCGATCACAGCCACCTAAGTACCCAGCTTAGTATTCTGCTGGTGTCCCAAGTCCTTCACCTACCCTCTCCCTGTGGCGGGAAGCATCCACTTAGGGCTTCCTCTTAATGACATTTTAAAAAAAGTTTATTTATCTGTTATGTATACAGTATTCTGCCTGCATGTACACCTGCATGCCAGAAGAGAGCACCAGATCCCATTATAGATGGTTGAGCCTCCATGTGGTTAACTGGGAATTGGACTCAGGACCTCTAGAAGAACAGTTAGGGCTCTTAATCTCTGAGCCATCTCTCCAGCCCTCACTAGTGCCGTTTGTTTTCAATGCTTTAGATGAAACCCTGAGTCATACCCCCAGTCCTCACCCATGCCTTTTATTGGCACATATATGTATACTTTCTAGACAGGGATCCGTTTTGTCCCCTTAGGGGCTTGCTCCTGGCCCAGGCCACGCCCTCAGCTAGGTAGACCACTCACTTACGTGTTGTTCAGGATGTGGAACTTCTCGCCTTTGGTGAAGGTGAGGTCATCCTCCGTCCTGGCCTCATAGTCATACAGGGCAACGAATGTGGTAACTCCGGTCCCTGCAGAGTCAGAGGCGCTCAGTAGAGTGGGAACCAAGGAGACTGCATCCCTGGGTACCAGTGCCCTCCCCAGAGCTGGGCGCTGTGCCTGTCCATCATTACAATGCCTACGTTCCTGAAGGAGTTCAGGGACCAGCGGGGCTTTTGAAACCATTTGAGTTTCACAGCTTGCCCCGCTAGGTCCAGGACAAACAGCCTCAAGCTCCTCTTACCCTGGAAAGTCCCCAAGTTGCTTTCCCACCAAGAAGTCTCACCTTTTAAAGTGACACTTAAGAGGATAGAAGTATGTGTTTGTATGTGTGTGTGTAGGTGAGAGAAATTCATCAAGCTCCTGCCTCATTCTTCCAACTTGCTACTTGCAGTTGTTACTGGGGTCTCTGGACAGAAAAAGACCCAAACCAGACTCTCGAGTAGACTTACATACACTGACCTAGCTGTTGTGAGCTAGAGCATGGAGCTGTGTCTCCCGTATCATTCCAGAGACTTCTAGAGACAAGCCTGCGTCTCCCGGTCCTGTTTCCCCAGAGCCCAGGCAGCAGCTCTCTTAGCCCTAGCGACCCACCTGAGATGCTTCTGGTATTGCCAGAATTAAGGAAAGTAGGGCTGGCGGGCTGGGGAGAGAAGGACGCGGACCGGCCTTGAGTGGGGTCAGGGTAGTAGCGTTCTTCCAGCTCTGGGCTCCTGAAGCCCCCTTCCAGGCCACCATCCTCCTTGGATGCAGGCTCAAGCTTCTTGCAGAACGAACAGCCCATTCCAGGTACCCTGCTGCAGAAGGGGGACAGGCCTCACTCAGGGTCCCTGCCTGGCGCAGCACCCTGCGCACACGGGTCTGTGTGCACACTCTCGCACAGGCATGGAGCTTCTACTCTACTGAGCCAGCTGGGGGTCTTCCTAAGTAAGTGCCACCTATGGCCTGCCTCGGAGCTGCATCCCTGTGCTTGGAGAGAGTGTGTGGCTTCTCCGTGCTTTTCTTCTCATTTCTGCTGGGTCAACAGCTCAGGTGTTTTTTTCGCATCAGGAAGTTGCTGTGTTTGGCTTCTTATTCTTTTTTTTTTAATATTTATTTATTTACGTATATAAGAGCTTTATCTGCATGTGCATGACATGACAGAACAGAGCATCAGATCCCATTACAGATGGTTGTGAGCCACCATGTGGTTGCTGGGAAATGAACTCAGGTCCTCTGAAAGAACAGCCAGTGCGCTTAACTGCTGAGCCACCTCTCCAGCCCCTGGTTTTGTATTCTTTGTTGGTGGTGAGCTACAGGGTCTGTAATTCAGGCTGGCTTCAAACTTACTCTGTGGCCAAGAATGACCTTGAACTCCTGATCATCCTGCTTACACCTCCTAAAGGCTTATATGCTTTTCTTTTTCCAGACAGGGTCTCATTGCATATGCCTGGCTAGTCTCGAACTCACTATGTAGACCAGGCCAGCCTCGAACTCACAGAGATCTACCTGCCTCTGCCTCCCGAGTGCTGGGTTTAAAGGTGTGTGCCACCACTGCCTGGCTGCTGATTTATTTTTAATTATTTTATTTGATGTGTATTGGGTGTTTTGCCTGCAGGTACGTCTGTGTTCCATGTATATGCCTGGTGCCAGGGAGGCCAGAAGAGAGCTTTGGATCCCCTGGAACTGGAATCACGTACAGTCGTGAGCTGCCATGTGGGTCCCAGGAAGAGCGGTCAGGGCTCTCAACCCCTGAGCCATCTCTCCAGTCTCAGACTCAAGTTTGTGCACTTCTGATGCCCGTCACTCTGATGTGTTTCTGTGATTCCTTTACGGGGTTTCTTTTCCCCTCTGTGTATTTCTGTGTCTCTAGACATATGCTTGTTGTGTGTGTGTTATGCCGTCTTGGGGAATGTCTTTGTGTGTAGATGAATGTGCTGATCTTGGGACATAGCTCAGTTGCTAGAGTGCTTGCCTAGCATGCATGAAGCCTTAGGTTCGATACCCAGTACTGCATGAACTCAGCCTGGTGGTGTGGTCCTGCAAATCCCAGCATTTAGGAGAAGGAAGCAGGGAAATGAGAAACTCAAGGCCAGTCTTAGCTACCTATCAAGTTTCAGGCGAGCCTAAGATACATAAGACCTCATCTCAAACACGGAAATGCGTTCCTGTCTTTAAATGTATTTGGGCTGTGTGTACCCTTGTCTATATGACTATGGTGGATCAAGTGATTGTGCGTGGGTCTGCCTCTGTGTGTCGGGTGTGTGTGTGTGTGTGTGCACGTGTGTGCATGCAGGCCTGTGTGACCACGATTGCACACCGCCCCACGTGGACGTGCATGTACCTGTCTCTTCGCGCATGTGTGTGTTTCATAACACACCTCTGCAGATCGGCGCATTGGTGAACAGTGAGGGCAGTGTGCCCGCACCTGGAGATTCCCCGCAGAGGGGGATCAAGGCCATTTCCTGTCATGAGTCCAGCCTCCAGCCTCTCAAGCTGCCTCATTCTGGCTCCTCTATCCGTTTCCTAGCAACAGGGCCCTTGTAGGAGGAGGGGGCAGCGAGGCAGGCATTGTGGGGCCCAGCAAGGCGACCCTACCCAGTCTCCTGAGCCTAAAAGCCTCCGTGTACTTCCCACCCTACTCACCCCGAAGGCCCCTACTCCTGGGTCAGTAGGACCGGTGCATAGTCCCCGGAAGGCACAGGAGACCTGCGGGGGAGACAGAACGGCGTGCAAGATGAAGAAGGCCTCGCCAGTATCCCTGCCAGCCAGCTGCCCAGATCCTACCCTCTCCAGAAAGCCAGGAGGCCTGAGCTCTGTCCCACCGTGACTTCTACCTTCGTTTTCTCTCCCACCACTCTTGGAATACTTACAGATTCATCCCCACACAGGGCACATACCCCCGTGCCAACTCTTGCACATTCAGTCCCACCTGAGACAGGGCAGGAAGACACACACCAGCACAGCCCTGCAGCCTCCCAGCACATGCTGGAGTGAGTGCCCTTGCCAACATGGCCGCACGCCATCACAGCTCTTGGATGAGCTCTGGTGCTGTGCCTACACATATATGTACATGCGCATTTGGATGCTCCTCAGGTGAGCACACTCACACACTCCTACGTTGTGCTCAGGCTCATCTTTCAAACTGGAGCGCTATCAAGCTGTGCTAAGCTCACCGGACCTCAACTCAGTCGGCGCATCCTGAAAATGAACCTTATCAGTCGGGCAGCGGTGGCGCACGCCTTTAATCCCAGTGCTCGGGAGGCAGAGGCAGGTGGACCTCTGTGAGCTCGAGGCCAGCCTGGTCCACACAGAGAAACCCCGTCTTGAAAAACGAAACAAATAAAAACGAGTCTTGTCCTAGAACCCTGCCTCTGTCCTCCTCCTGGGCAAATCCCAGCAGCCTGATGCTCACCTCTGGTGCCAGGAGGAAAGTGACAGTTTTCTTGAGACCAGAATTAGGGAGAGGCCCAAGTCAGAAGCAGGGGCCAGCACAGGCTCTTGAAGAGCTGTCTGAACTAGCCAAACATCCCCAGCAGCCAAGTCCTTGGAGCAACTCCACAAGAAGGTTATTGAGCAAGGGGTCCTCACCCCTCCCCATCCCCCGCCCCGCCCCTTGCTGAAAAACTCCACCATTGCAACACTCAGAGAGGAACTGCTAGGGAAGAAGGCTGGTTTGCAAAGATGGGGCATAGCACTGTGGGGGTGGGGCTAGCCCATGGACAGCTAGGGTCCCCCCTAGGGGCCTGAAGATCAAAGCTCCCATGCGGTCCTCCCTCTGGCTGTCTCTCACCGGCATACTCACCCGCTCCCAGGAAGCCTGTCTCCCAGCATCTAATAGGTCTAGTGGCCATATGGTTCTGTTACCTCAGAGTCCTAAACTAACATCCATCTCCCCTCACGCTTCACCAAAACCATTCTCCTAGGTGTGTTGAGGTGAAGAAATAACACAAGTGAGGGGACGAGCTGTGAGGTAGGTTGTGGCGAGAGGCCAGTCCGAAAACAGCCTCTATTCACTCAGCCTTAAAGAGCCCTTCCCTTCACTTCAGGACGCGCCCACAATAGAGTGAGGGGCCAGTATGTCTGAAAGGGCCCAGCATTCCAGGCTGATCAGGTAGGGGAGGTAGATCAGGTAGGTGGTGAGATAGCGTGTTCCCCAGGGCCTAGCTGAAGGGGTTTCAGAGGAGAGGAGACCAGAGGTGGGGTGACATGAAAGCAAAGGCCAAGCCCGTCTCACAAAACCACAGACACGCTTGGCAAACCCTGTGCCGAGCTACACAGATCTTGTGTGGACAGCCTCAGACATAGGCATTTTCTGTGCAGCACACAGACCATAAAGGCCCTAAATTCATCCGTACTGATCTCCAGACACCTGCATCCGTGACTGTAGCACACTCACGAACACCAACCTACAGCCCTCATCCACACGCACTACATGTCTACACACACATACAAAAAAAAGTAAGTTAAAAATTATAGCCCTAGCTGGGTGCAGTGACACACGCCTGGAATCCCAGCACTCTGGGAGGCAGAGGCAGGCACTTTACTTCAAGTTCGAGGCCAGCCTGGTCTACAAAGTGAGCCCAGGAGAGCGAAGGCTACACAGAGAAACCCTGTCTCAGAAAACAAACAAAAAAATTATAGCCCTTACTGGTGTGTCTGCTGCTTCAAACACTTTGCCTGTACCACCTCATCTGACCCTCACCACAAACCCAGTTTTAAATATTATTATTTTTGAGGAAGCAACTGAAGCATGTTTAGATATTTGCCTAAGGTCACACACATGCTGAATCCCATCATTTGGGACTAGAATCTGAGCCATTTCCCTGCATTGCTTGTCACAGAGAAAGAGCTGTAGCCATTCCTGAAATCGTATGCAAATGCAATGCTTGGGTAGGACTGGCTGGGGTGTACACAGCTCTCTCCTGGAGAGCCAGCCCTACCCAGAGGCTCCTCTATGGGATTCGAACTTAAACAGCCCAGGGGACCTCCGTAGGCACAAATGTTGATATTGCTGGGTCATACCCCCCACAAGGGAGCTCCCATATTCTGCCAGCCCATAGGGAGGGAGGTTCAAATAGAAGCCCTAGGGGCTGAGCAGGAGTCCTGGCAGGGTTGACAGTGTAACCACCGGGCAGAATTAGCCCTCAGAGCAATGTCACCCACAGACTCGGAGGGCACAGTGGTCTCATGTGGACCTGGCTTTCTGGTGAGTATCCTGAAGGACTCGGGCACGGTTACACAGGGTGTATTTGAGGCCCAGTGCAGGGAGGAGCCACACTGAATGTGACTGCAGGCACCAGTGGAAGGATGGGGAGAAAGAGAGGCAGAGACTGAGAGATCGGGAGAGACAGTGATGAAGCAAAACAAAAACAAAAACAAAACAAACAAACAAAAAACAACAGCGTGGTATCCTCACAAACTGATTTTCAAGGGGGATAAAAAAAAAAAAAAGGTAAAACAGCAACAAAACCCCCACGTCCTGATTTGTAGCATGTGCTAATTTCCATGGTGTAAATATTCCCTCTGTGGCTGATTTAGAGCTACTGGAGCAACTTCCCGAGGGCTGGGCCCTGGAAGAGAATGAGTTCCCCTGAGTCCCTGTCAGTGAGCCAACACATGGCTGCCAGAGAGAAGCCCGGCCAGAGGCAAAGAGACACAAATTCCAGATAAAGACTGACTACCGGAAGACCGTAGCAGTGCGCCTCCATAATCCCAGCATTCAAGTGGACGGGCAGGAGGATAGCAAGTTTGAGGCTGCTGTGGGAACATGGCAAGACTTTGCGCTGCAGAATCAAGGGCTTTGGGACTGGGGAGATAAGAGAGATGGCTCAGTTAGGCAAGGGATTGCCACCAAGCGCTGGGGGCTGGGGTTCTAGCCTTAGCACCCATGTGAAAAAAGCTGGTGCTGTGAACCTTAAGTGAGGTACACGGTGAGGGTAAGTGAGACAGGGTGGCTCCTGGGGTTCCCTGGCCTGTTGGTATACTGCTAGGTTCACAGGAAATCCTGTCTCCAAACAGGAGCGGCTGGAGAGATGGTCTGTCTGCTCCTCCAGAGGACCTGGGTTCGATTCTCAGCACCGCATGGTGACTCACAATATCTGTGAATCCAGCTCTGGGACATCCAACATCTTCTGGTTTGTAGGCACCGGGACACCAGGCACATACGTACAAACACATTCTATAATTTTTGTTTGTTTGTTTGTTTGTTTGTTTGTTTGTTTGTTTGTTTTGAGGCAGGGTTTTTCTGTGCAGACCTAGCTGTCCTGGAACTTGTTTTGTAGACCAGGCTGGCCTCTGCCTCCTGAGTCCTGGGATTAAAGGTGTGGGCCACCACCAACTGGTACATACTATGACTTTTCCTTTACCATTTTTAAAAAACGATTTCTTTATTTACTTATCTTTTACTGTGCATGGGTGTTTTGCCTGAATGTATGTCTGCGTGAGGGTGTCAGGTCACCTGGAACAGGGGTTACAGACAGTTGTGAGCTGCCGAATGGGTGCTGGGAATGGAACCCGAGTCCTCTGGAAAAGCAGCCAATGCTCTTAACTGCCGAGCCATCTCCCCAGCCCCACACACTATAAACTTTTTTTTTTATTATTAAAATTTTTTACATAAAAGGAGAGCAATTTAAGAAGATGTCTGCATTGCCCCTCGGGCTCCACACGCATGTAGAGTCACGCTCATATCCACACATACACACATACACACATCAAAAACCAGAGAGAGAGAGACAGAGACAGGCAGAGATGAAGAAAGTCAGAGACGGGTAGAGGGAGCCGGATATGTTCAAACACCTGCCTGGAAAGAGCCAGAGGCCTCTCCCCTCTTCCTCTGAGCCCCGCCATCAAGCACTGACTCTCTTGGGAGTCTTTGCACTCTGCAGAAGTCTGGGTGGCGGTAACTATTAGCGAAAATGTGCTAATTTATTAAACATTTACACAGTGACTGGCATCTCGCCAAGAAATGTCTACACACGATCTCTTTAGTGACCTCCTGAGGCAAGTTTTATTCTCAACCCTGACCGGATGAGGACACGGAGGTACAGGGACGTTAAGCAACTTGGGAAGTGAAACAATCCAGCAGTTTGGGCAGCCTGCGTACTCTTCGACTTTGCAATCTCCGCAGACGCGTGACTGCGAACCTCTTTGAGGGCCCGCTGTGTGCCGGCCCTGCCACAATGTGTCTAGAGCCTAGTTAAGGCACAGAGCGAAAGCGGCCTCTCCTCTCTCCCTTTTCCTCTTGTTTCTATATTGGTGTGTGTATTTGTATATGTATGTGTGCATATGTACACATGTGTATGTATACGTATGTGTGTATGTATGTGTCTATGTGTACATGTATGTTTGTGTGTGTGTGTGTGTGTGTGTGTGTGTGTGTAGGTCAGAGAACAACCTGTGGGAGCGGATTCTCTCTTTCCACCACATGTGCCCCAGGGATCAAACTCAGGTTGTCAGACTTGGCATTAGCTGCTGAGCCATCTTGGATGAGAGACAGCACATCTCGAGGCCCTCCTGTTTTTTCTCTCCTAGCTGGCAGTGAACTTCAGCTTCCTGTAACATCAGAAAGGGAGCGACGCAAGACACAAGACGTGGTCGCCAGAGTTCAGGGCAACTCGGATGCTTAGGTTTGTTTATGAATAGGGTAGACTTGCACGCTACACTCTCCGCTCTCCAATGAGAGCGGAGGGATGAGTCTGAGGGACAGGAATCAATTCAACCGAGGGGTGGGGATGCACACCTTTAATCCCAGCACTCGGGAGGAGGAGACAGAAGAAAGTGGATCCCTGAATTTGAGGCCAGCCAGGTCTGCAGAGTGAGTTCTGGGATAGCCAGGGACTACGCAGGGAAACCCTATCTCAAAACAAACGAAAAGGAAATAAAGAAAAAAGAAAGGAATTGATTCAGGAGCCCCTATCAAGGTTGAAATCAGATGTCACAGCTAAGGTCTAACCCTGGACCACAATGCTGCCCGCTTCAGTATCTGCCCCTGTGTGGTAAGCATGCTCTCTCTCCCTCTCTCTCTCTTCCTCATCCTCTCTCTCTTGTCTTGTCCTTTTCCCCTCCCTCCCTCTCTCCTTCCTTCCCGGTAACCCTCCCCTTGAACTTGTGATCTCTGTGCCACAGGGATTGAATGCTCAACTTCCCTACCCCCCACCCCTGTTCTCAGGGAGGCTGTAGCCTTGGATGAAGGACAAGGCACATGAGCTTCTGGTTTCTCACCTGCACCCTCTGGGCAGAGCAGCTGTAAGGATTTCATGAAAAAGAGGCTCTAGCTCAGCGTGCAGTGGCCAAGCAGGCTGAGAACAGCAGCTGCAAAGAGCCCCCCCCCCCCCCCCAGGGCACCTGGTTCACCCGCCTCTAAAATATACCAGAAAAGCAGCTTCCCTGAAGTCACACAGGCCGACGGGCGATTCAGATGAGTGTGAAATCCAGTCCACAGTTTTCTGTTCCTGGCATGGTGACCGGGTTCTCCAAAGCCTGGGCAGGGTTATGCTGTCCCTGACTGGTAAATGTCATTCTTCCCACATGGCCAATGGCCAACTAAATCTGTTTTATGGCAGCTGAACAGCCGGCAGGGAGCCTGCCTCCCACATACCTGTGTTCCTGGACACAAGAGCCCCAACCTTCTCATCCTTTCCCAAGGGCCATTTTTCCCCAAATCACGTCAAAGTGATGATGTAAGACTCGGCCTGTTCTGCCTTCTCCAGCCTGACCTCCAAGTATGAGGGAGAACCAGGGTCAGGGTGAGGTCCAAAGTCTGTCTGTGTGACGACTGGGTGGGTACCAGTGAGCTTTCCTTTCCTTCTCTCTTTGCAAAGGTCTCTCTGAGGATGGGGGAGGTGGGCAGAGGTGCGGGGCTGAGCAGGGCAGAGAAGAAAGAGAAGTTCCCAGACAAGGTGGGAGGCAAGCCCAGTAAACCCCGAGGACTTCACTGAAAAGGAACTAGGAGTTCCGGCAGCGGCAGGAAACCACATCCTGCAAGAGTTCCGGTTTCTCAGAACTTGGGGCAGGGGCGGACCTGGGCTGGAGGGGCAACTAGGAGTCTGAGGTGTGAAGGCACTGCCATCCCTCGCCACACTTGGAGCCCTGACGGAGCGCTGCCATGCTGTCCCACAGTCCTCTCGCTGAGCACGGATACTCTCCTCAGGACCAGGCCACTACCTCCCTCGCAGAGGCCCTCACTTCTCACTGATTCCCTATCATTTCAAACCGCCTTTTTCTGACACTACCCGGTCCAGTCCTGACACCTTCTTGCACGATCCTAGCTCATCCTTCCACCTGGTCCTTTAGGTATCAACTGAGGTTTCCCTACTTGTTACTGGTAAAAGTGGTTCTAGCTGACTCACATAGCTGTATGAACAATTCCCCCCACCCCCCCGGACACACACCATATGAACCTTTAATGCCAGCATTCAGGAGGCAGAGGTAGGTGGATCTCTGTGGGTTCGAGGCAGCCTGGTCTACAGAATGAGTTCCAGGACAGCCAGGCTACACAGAGAAACCCTGTCTCAGATAATTTGAGAGAGAGAACTGATGGTGGCCCAAGCCTTTAATCTCAGCACTCAGGAGGCTAAGGCTGAGGAGAGCCTCTGTGAGCTCAAGACCACATAGTGAGACCCTGTTTCAAAAAAAAAAGAAAGAAAAAGAAAAAAGAAAAAGCGATTCCATGCGCCTTAGGAAATTTCCCATCAGCCTCTACAGCAAGAATCTTTGGGTTACCTAGCCTGGGACTTGGGCTTCCCGCCAGGAGTAGGCGTTGAGGCACTAAGAGTATAGATTCCACATTGTGATCTCCCAGTCTTTCGGGAGTGGAATGGGGCATCCTGCCTTGTTCCAGCGTGGACCAGCCCAGTGTGCTGTGTGGAAGCAACGTGGCTCCTCCTTCCTTCTTCAGCTCCGTAGCCCCTCACCCAGCCTGCCCAGGTTGGTCACCTCCCTTGTCACTTCATCCTCAGGGTGAAGAGCAGAGCAGATGGGGAGTACCCACAACCACACAAAAGCACCCGGGCTTGACAGTATTCACTGCAAGGCCACAGAGGGAGCAGGAGCTGGCAGTGCAGCCAGGAGCCTCACCCTACCCCGCCCCACCCCCACATCCCCCACTCCAGGTCCACACAAGCTTGACTAGGGATGGTAGGCTCAGGCTCTCAGCTTGGCTACCTCCTTTGTCATGTCTAGATGCTCTGGACTCTGCCCCCTCCTGCTAAGCTAACCCATCCTCCTTCCCACCACCGATGGAAGGATAGAGGGAGGATGCTCACAGCTCTCGACTCCAGCGTGGTCATAGCGTGACCAGCTGGTGAATGGGCCCTCCGAGACATTTAGGAGGCTCGGGCGGTGTTCTGGTCCCCAAAGGCCCTGTCTGTGAAGCTGTGAGAAGACCTCACTGTGTAGAGCAGGCTGGCCTGATCTCAGAGAGTCACCTACCTGCCTCTGCCTCTGCCTCCAGCCTCTCCTCTCCCCTCCCCTGCCCCTGTTCTGTCTCTGTCCCCCAGTCCCACCCTGCCTGTGCCTTTCTTCTGCTCACGTAGCTCAAGCTGGCCTCAAACTAGTGACAATCTTCCTACCCCGGTTTTCTGAGTGCCGGGATTATTATAGGCATGTGCCACTGGGCATAGCTTTGGCATCATCAGGAAGGGCTAGTTTCTCCCCAGAGTTCCAATGAGGAAAGCCAGGATCCAGAGAAGCCTAACTCTCCTGCGGTCTACATAGCAATTAAGGGCCCGTTCTTGTCAAGAGCCCAGGAGGTCTCTGAGCCAGCCGATTCCTGAACACCAAACCACACCATCTCCCTCCGCGTTGCACAATAGACTCGGACCAAGGACCAAAAATGGGGATGAAGGCGGGGACCGTGGCTTCCAGCCACAGAGCCCGCAGCAGCCCAGAACCAACTGGCCTCCCTGCCCTGTGTTGCCATGGAAACAGCCCCTGCGGGCATTCGCGGTCAAAAGCAGGATTTCCGTCGGGGCTGCCAGCAATTCCCGGATCCCGACGGGGACGCGGACCCAGACCGCCACCGCGAGTAGGGAGAGGCACCCAGGGAGGTCTGTCGGTGCCCGGGGCGCGGACTTCCCCAGGAAACCAGGATCCAGGCCCCCAGCGCCTGGAAGCAATCCCCAGAGCGTCCCGAACCGCTGCCCAGGGATGCAGCAAGAGGGCCTGGGGCTGCAGGCGCCCCCCCTTGCCCTGAGCCGGAGAGCGGGCCTCTGAGACCCCAGAACTGCAGTCCGGACTCCGCATTCTGCAGAAATCACTCTCCTTGACTCTCTTCTCAGCGACTCCAACCCCGAATGACCTCAGCACCCCCTCTTGATCCTTGCAGCTTCCCCACCTACAACTATCTACCCCTCTCCCAGGCCCCTCAGCTGCTCCCCATATTCTCCCTCTCAAACCCCCTCAGCGCTCTCCCCAGTCCCTTCGAGGGGAGCCCACCGCTCCTTCCTGCGACCCTTTCAACCCTCCTCCCAAATTCCATCAGTTTCCCCCGTGAGGCTCTCGGGGGAAACTTTCGGCCTGCCTTCGCCACAGTCCCTCAGCCTTCTCCCCAGGTTTTAATCAGTCTTTTCCAGGTTTCCATAGTTTTCTTCCTTCATTCCCTTTCTAGCTGGGGTCCCCGCTCTCGCTCAGCTTGCTCAGCTCTCAGCGTTCAAGTTCAGCCCTCCAGGGCGGAGGCGAGGCAACACCTGCCCCGCCAGCCCCCACCTGGTTTGGCCGCCTACCTGGTCCCAGGGGAGCCAGCTGCCGACGACCCGTTCTGGGGCGAGCCAGCCCTAGCTTTCAGCAGCCCGCAGAGGCGATGTGGGGGAGCAGTGGGGTGCTGCCCGCCTCTGTCCCTATCACCTACTCTGGGTAGGGAGGAGGAAGCCGCCTCGGACTTCTCTTATTTTGGTGGCTGCGGAGGAGGAGGCGGCAGGAGAATTTGCAGTCACGCCTCAGCCCCAAGCCAGCTGCCCAAAGCCCGGAGGGAGCCCCAGATTCCAGGTCCGACGGCTCCCACTTCCCGCCTTTCAAGGTTACCTCGGATGGGCTTTCCCAGCGCTGTCCCTGCACCCCAGCTCCTTCCCAGAGGTCCCCTCTGAAGGGACCCGCCCCTTTAGTCACTAGAATGGGATACAGAGGGATTTTGGCCGTCACTGCGCGCCCCCCCCGCCGCCGCCGCCATCTCCCAGGTGGGAAACCCAGAGCCAGGTCAGGAGAGTCTGGTCCAAGTTCAAGTTCACATAGTCTGTTGCCCTTCCACTGCGGTCACCAGATTTGCAGGTAACTTGTCTCCTGTCTGTAATCTCTGCCACCCCATCCTGTGGACTAGTCACAGGTGGTAGCTATAAGGACCTTGCCTTTGAGTAATTCTTTTCAGAACAATCAGCTCGAATCAGGCCACAGCCACACACACACATTTTAAAGAAGCTGAGTAAAGTCCTTAACCACAGCGTCTCTTAGGGATCCTCCCTAAACCCTCCCCAATCTGAGGTGCCTCACCCCCCCCCATTACCTTCAAAACCAAGGTCCTGGGAAACCCCTCTGTCTGGGGAGGGAGAGATATGCGGGGGAGGGTTGGGAGTCTATGTGGGGAGGGTGAAGCGTGGGGCAGGGTGTGCTCAGAAGGATGTGGGGGCTATGTTGATTATAGGCAATGACACCATGACCAGTTTTAGAATGACAACTAGGACACAGTATGCGGTTGGGTGTGGTTATGTATCGTATTGGCAGGGGCTGGGGTGGGGGGTGGGGCTGTGTGGAGCCAAAGTGGCAGATGCAGAGAAGAAGCTTCTCTTCTTGGTGCCATTAATCCCAGTAGGCAGAAGCAGAGGGATCTCTGTGAGTTCCAGACCAGCCAGGGCTACACAGAGTAAAACCCTGTCTTGAAAAACAACAAAACAAAACTGCTTTTCTCTTAGGCAAATGGGAAGTGGGGGTGAGGAGGAAGAAAGGGAGGGGGTAGGGGAGGCTCAGGGGCTTTGGGAGGGTGGCTTCATCCTGCTACTGATGATAGCTTTTCCACCAGTACAGAGCACCCTCTAAGCTGGCCTGGGCCACTGGTCCGTGTGTTCAATTAACCAACAAAATGTTTATCGTGGTCCATGGGATCCCAGCCATAGGGAGACTGGATACAAAAGGGACTCTCACACCAGATGCACCAGCTACTCAAGAGGATTGCTTGAGCCCTGTGGCCTGGAGGTCAGTCAGAGCAAAGCACTGACTCTCTACCTCAAGAGAAGGGAGAGCAGGAGGAGGGAGAGACAGAGAAGGAGGGGGAGGCAGAGGTGGGCAGGGGTCACAGGAGAAGGCAGAGGGTAGGTGACACAGGGGAAGAGAAGACAGGAGAGGAGAGGTGAGAGGAGACAGAAGACGGGAAAGGGAAACAAGAAAAGGGGAGAGAGGAGAGGGAAAGATAGGAGGGAGAGGAGACAGAAAGAGAGAGGATATAAGGGAGAGAGACAGGAAGAGACACACACTGATCTTGGGGGGAATCTTTCAACTCTCAAGATTATTCTGTAATTCTTCCAAATCTGGCTCCTGGGTTTCTCCTTAGGGGCCTTCCTTGATGCTCACCCTCTCCCCAGCAGATGCTCACAACTCTTGCCTAGAGCACTCCTCCTTCTGCTGGTCTGGAACTGGTTCCTTCTGGTTGGTTATGCTCTATGGCTCCCTCCTCAGAGAAGCCTTCCTGACCTCAGACTTCCGGCCCACAGCCCACGGCCCACATTACCTGGTGCAAACAGACTCTCCCTAGTTCCGTTTCCCTTGGACAAGTTACTATGCCTGCTTTCTGCAACTCACTTTTTCATCCATACAACGAAGGCTGCAGTAGACCTCAATTGACAGAAGCCTTGGGAGAAAGGGCCGGTAGCTGTCTCACCAAGTGCCTGCCACATGGTAAATGCTATGTGTTTGCTGTCATTCATTCACTTGTTCCTTCAATCAAACTTCAAAATTTTGAGTCACCGTCAGTGCTGGACTGGATGCCGGGGCTCTGGTAGGAATTCTATCACAGCCTTTTAGCGCAGAACAGATCACAGGGCCAAAAGCCACAGGATGACTCTGGCCTCTTCCCTCCCCAAGTTTGGTTCCCTCACTGCCCCGTGTTCCTCTTCCTTTAAGACAATTCCAAGGGCTGGGAGCACAACTCAAAAGCCAGCCTGCTCACCTCACGTCCTCCATCTCCCATGGCCTTTTCAGTCAGCTTGGGTCCTCCTGCCATTGGCCCTCTAGTCCTCCTCCCTGGCTTGCCTTGAAGCCCCGCCTGCAAAAATCCAAACAGCTGCACCTTCCCGAGGATCAGGAGGAGAAGGGGGAGGGGGAAGGAGAGGAGAAGAAGGAGGGGGAGCCACAGACTATGCGGCCAGGGCCAGGGCTGCAGTGCTTCAGGAGGAAGCCATCAGGGCCCGGCTAGCCAGACACTGTAAACATGACTGCCTCCTCGCTCTCAGCCTTCGAGGGACTGATACCTTCTGCGATCTCTTCTCTAGCACCAACCATTTCTCCCTGTCACAGACTTAACCTCTCTGCCTAGAAACATGTTCTAGAATCTGCTTCAAAAGAGAAACCCAAAAAAAAAAAAAAAAGAGAAACCCAAAGGCATACTTATTTTTTTATTGTTTGTTTTTCTTTTTCTTTTCTGTTTTTGTTTTGTTTTGTTTTGTTTTTTTGAGACAGGGTGTCTTTGTGTAGACTTGGCTGTCCTAGACTTGCTTTGTAGACCAGGCTGGCCTCAAACTCACAGCGACCCTCCTGCCTCTGCCTCCCAGAGCCACTTTTTTATTACATTATATATATATATATATTTGCACAAATGTGTATATGTATGTGTGGCGGTCTGAGGCCAACTTTAAAGAGTCATCTCTTTCCTTCCATGGTGTGGGTCCCAGGGACTGGACTTGGGTTGCCAGGCTTGGCTCAAATGCCTTTATCCGCTGCATCACTTCTTGGGCCCCTGCTTGTTTATTTGCAGCAGGGGAGGGTGTGTGAGTATGGAGATCAGAGGGCACTTATTATTATTTTGGGTTTTTTTTTTAAATATAGAGTTTCTCTGTGTAGCCCTGGCTGTCCTGGAACTCCTCTGTAGACCAGGCTGGCCCGGAACACATAGAGATCCACCTGCCTCTGCTTCCTGAGTGCTGGAAGGAATTAAAGGCATATATCACCACCACCCAAGCCAGAGAGCAACTTTCTTTTTTCTTTTTTTTTTCTTAACTTTTAATTGATTCTTTGTGAATTTCCATGCACCTGAATTCCACTCGTCTCCCTGTCCACTCATCTCCCTGTCCACTCATTTCCACCCTCTGCCCTTGCAACCACCCCTCCCCGAAAGAAAATAAAAGTAAAAAGAATAAAAACAAACAAAAAACCTCGTCATGGAAGCTGCGGTGTATCAGTGTGTCACACAGTATTCTCTCATCCCACACCTTTGCTTGCAACTGTTCGTTGTGATGCGTCATTGGTCTGCTTGGAAGACTCTGGTTTCTACACTATCAACACTGGATCCTCACCAGGACTCTTCTCCGATGTCCTGTTGTTGCCCTGGGTCGTGGAGATCCTGCAGCTTTGGATCTGCAGGGCCAGCAGAGGGCCTTTGAAGAGTCATTTTTCTTCTTCTAGCAAGTGGGTCCCTGAGATGGAATGATTGTGAGTCTATGTGAGTCCCTTCTCAAAAAATAACAACAGCAGCAAAACAAAACAGAAAAACCCGGACCGTTGAGATGCTCAGTGGATACAGGTGCCTGTCACCAAGTCTGATGACTTAAGTTCGATCCCCGGAATACCCACAGAGGAAGGAGAGACCTGATTACCACAGTTTGTACACATACATACACACAAGTAGGCACACACACATGCACAACAAATACAAACTTTAAAAATATATATAGCAAAAAATCCGGGCTGTTGGTGGCGCATGCCTTTAATCCCAGCACTTGGGAGGCAGAGGCAGGCAGATCCCCATGAGTTCGAGGCCAGCCTGGACAGTGCCAGGGCTACACAGAAAGACCCTGTCTCAAAAAACAAAAACAACAACAAAAAAAAAACTCCAAACAAACAAAAGCAGAGAACAAAGAAACATACAGAAAGAATTGCCAATGAAGCTGTCTTAGTCATTTTGGACAGCAGCAGAACAACACAGACTACATAGTTTAAACAATACAAATGTACTTTTTTACAGTTCTGGAGTCTCCAAGTCCCAGATCAGGACTCAGCAGGGGTAGTTTCTGGTGAGGGCACTCGGCCTGAATTGCACGTAGCTGCTCTCTCCCTTGACCTCAGGCGCCCTCTGAGATCTCACCTGGTAAATACCCTAGTCCTAAATCCTTTAGGTTAAGGCCTAAAGGATTTAGGCCTTCATTTAAACATATGACTTCATTTAAACATAAATTGTGCCTGGGAAGGTTCCCTTCTGTAACATTGTCATGTGGAGGAGAGAGGAAGTCTTCAGCAAATGAATGGGGGAGGGTGCTAAAACCACCAGTGTGGGTGGCACCAAGTTTAAAGAGCAGCCTGTTCACAGAGGATGCCCCCCCACCTGGCACTGGCCAAGAGTGATGCCCTCTTCCCACTGTGGATCTGGCCAACCACGGTGCTGAACTGGCGGCCAGCACTTCCTCTTGGGGTTACTGTAAAGGACATACGTCACTGGGAAGCATCCTTCCACAGATGCTTGACAAAAAATCTAGTCCAGTAAGCCAAATATGGCCCTCTGCCTGGTTCTGGGTAGCCAGAGAGCTAAGAGAAATAAGTTAAGAAACAAGTTATTGCTACGAGGCTCATGCTGGCTTCAAATTTCTGGGTTCAAAAAATTCTCCTGCCCGGCGTGGTGGTGCACGCC